GCTGTGTCCTGCATGCCTCTGAGTCACAATACTGAAAACGATAAATTCCTTATATTGCACTTAAATGGGGATGGTCCTTAAAAGCCGTATTTGTTTAAAGACACTGTCATCTGAGGAGGCAGCCTGGCTTGTTGGCTAAGCAGCAGTTTGAGGAAAGCCTAGGGACCTGTTTTGATCCCAGCTGTGCCACTAATATGTTTTTTGGTGACCTTGGGTAAGTCACTTAACCTTACTTACAGCATTCTTAAAACAACCCCCGAGGTTGTCATGAAGAACCTTGGGGGGGAAAAATGTTTTTAGCAAATAAGCTCAGGTTCCCCCCACAAGAAAGGTTAAAGGTGGGGGTTGTTTTGTTTTATTTTGTTTTTAGCTGTACGACATTTCTTCCTTTTTCTTCGGGTCTCTTAGTCCAAATGAGTAGTCTGTTTAGTGGAAACTTATTAGTTAATGGAAGCTCTTTGGTGGTAAATCATTGTAAATTGGCAATTGCTCTGGCGTGCCGAGCTTGAGAGGCTCTATTCCCATTCTTTCAACAACAAATCAGCTGTGGTCTCTGACCTATTTATTTGGAGGTAACCCTGCCAAGCGTAAAAAAGATTGGGAAAGCATACAGTTTCACTGGTCCGTACCCTGGACTGGGACATCCTCACTCATTTGGAAAAGGCTTCTTTCTCCTTTAGTTTTTCTTTAGTGCTCTTACATCAGCTAATATATTAGTTGCAGTTGTACTTTGCACAGACACTAATTAGAGAGCCATCAACATTGGGGTCCAAAGGCTTACCGACAATGCAACTGTCATAGTGGTGCCTTAATTGGTTGAGTGTAATTGTCATTAGGCAGTGATAAAGACATCTGGAGCTCTGGAGAAAAATCAGTTTTTTCTTCCTACCTCCCTTCAATATCTGTTCTTGCTTCTCCTGGCCAATGTTGTTAAGCACTTTTAGATCACATTTAGGGTTTGGTCCAGTTCCCTCTGCTCCAACCATCGTTTTACCCTCATGCAAATGTCTGTTTCTTTAGCACGAGTTCATTAGCACGGGGTCTGAGCTCCATTATTCTGGCTGCTCTCACTTGCGTTAGATTCTAGAGCCTGGCGCTGAGTCATCACGTGGTACCTGCTGAAACGGTATGGATTCTCTGTTCCCCTCCAAAAAGAGACATGGAGTCTTTTATATATTGTCTCCTGAGTCATTTGCATTATACTCTTCTCCTGCTCTTTGGCCATGAAGAATGGAGTTAATTTAAATGGATATCTTTGAAAGTGTTCTTTACCAAAATGATTTAGCTTATCCTGTGCTTTTATAGATATTTTAATCAGTTTGGAAGTAAATGCAAGGAGTTTAACACCTCTCGATGTGTGTGTGCAGAGTGTTTCACTGATCATCAGCAGTGGAAGGTGGGCAGTAGAAGTAAAAGGCGCCACTCAGACCAGTCAGGTGGTTACTTGTGGACACCCCCTTCCAGTCATTGGTATGTTATTAGCTATGTGTAAGGCACTGTGATGGAGATACAGCATTGAGATATGGCCTTCTCGGGGACTTGGCGATCAAGTGGAGATGTGGAATGTAACGAATGCTATTTCTTCAGATACAGTGGTAGTTGAGCCAGAGAAGTCTTCATGGAGGAAGAGGGTCTGTGCTAAACATTGAGCGGTTAGCAGGCTTGGGCTAGGTCAGTGGTTCTCAGTCTTGCCTAAACATTGGAAACACTGATGCCTGGTTCCACTCCCAGAGTCAGATTTCAGCGGCCTGGGTGTGCTTTGGGCATCAGGAGTTTGGAAAGCATCCCAGGTGATTCCCATGTGCAGCCAATGTTGGGATCCACTGGGCTGGGTTGTCAGGAGGGAAAGTACTCCAGAATGGTGGATAACGTGAGCAAAGATGCAGAAGCAAGAGTATATGGAAGCCAGGAATGACAGACTTGTCCAGAGACAGGTTCATGCTAAGGAAGAACAGAAAATGAGACTGGGGAGAGGGGTGGAAGCTAGTTTGTGGAGGGATCTCTGTGCTAGGCCTAGTAATTAAAATGTCACCAATAAGATGTTAAGGCTTGAGTAGCTAGGGGGCTTTTTTTTTTTTTTTTTTTAAAGATTTTATTTATTTATTTGAGCTAGGGGGCTTTCTAAGTGTTAAGTGCTGTTCTAGTCTGACTCAGAACTTCTAGTTGTTGGGCTCATAGCTGTGAGCAAGACCCAACCCCCAACCTTAGAAGCTTATAGGTTCTTGGCGAGCTGAACACACACACACACACACACACACACACACACACACAGTTGCTGTGAGGAAAGTCTAGGCTGCTGTCATGTAGGCTAGATCACAGGGGGACATGGTCCAGTGTGAAGGGGAAGGGAGGAAGGAAGAATGATTACTCATGTCATCAGGTACTTTTGAGGGCTTGCCTTGTGCAGGGCTGATGGTGGGTGGGGGGAGCCTTGGGACTAAGGGGCCCTGAGGCACTGAGGGGTTTGGACTGGGGCAGCATCCCTGGGGAAGGGAACAGAGAGGACGTGGCCACTGGAACACAGAGGGCAGTGTGGCTGGGGTGGGGGGGCGGCAGGGGGGAGGTGAAGGGATGCGGAGAAGCTGCTTAGTTTTGCACCAGGGACTAGGACTGATGCGGTCACTGAGGAAAGGAGGGAAGTCAGCAGTGGGCTAGTGTGTGGTGAACTGAAGCCTTTGGAGGAGAACCTGGGTTTAATCTAGACACGTGGCATCTCAGGGTGAGGACAACTCTTTTTGTGCTGGAAAAGCCCTGTGAGGCTCTGGTGGACGTTAATAGAGCACTCTTCGTGTGGGAGCCTGCCCGTGATGAGAGTGAGTGGCAGCTTGGATCTCACCGCTCCCTGCTGTGTGGGGTCCAGCAGTTCATCAGGTTCTGGTTTTGTGGTTTTGCCTCGGAACTCTGTAAAAGGGCTTTGGGGCTGGAGCTTAGGCTCCTGAAATGCTCTCCTCTGTACCCCTCTGCTGGCCATGCGGCCCCGATGGGGTGCACAAAGGGCCTTGCGAGAGCATGTGCGGCTACTGTGCCGGTCATCAAAGGAAAGGAATACGTTTCCAAGTCCCAGAGTCCTCAGACCCCTACACTTGCTTTCTGTGTCTTCCTTTCACTCCTTGTCTCTGTATTTCTGATGGTGTCACCATCCCTCTCACCTTTTTTCTTTTTTTTTTGAAATTGCTCCTTCCTTTCACATAGAATTTAAGAATCTAATCATGCACAGTCTAGACATTCAAACATGTTTTCTCTGTTCAGTGTGTCTGTAGCTAAGCAAGTGGCCTTACTCCAGGGAACATCTGAGTTGTTTTCTAGGGTGTCAAGGTGAGCCTGGTAGATTTGGCGGAGTCTGTGTTCTTGTATAGGGTTCCTCATTAAGAAGGGTGATCTGGAATGCTGCCCGGAGGACCTGGGAACCAGTGGCCGTGCTTTGGCCACGGTGATATCAATATCCACCCTTGCTTGTGCATCGCCAGGCTTAACAACACTCGTGGAGTGAGCGTTCCTGTTTACTGGGGGATCAGTGGTCATGCAGAGTTCCTTCAGTCCAATTTTAGAAAGCACGTCTCTCTTACTGGCTCTTTATACCACACGCGCACTCCCCAGGCATTGTCTTGCAAGGGGAGAGCCGAATTCTCCAAGCGAGGGAATTTGTGTGACAAAATCACCTTTAAATCACATATTTACTGTCAATAATTTGAGGGAATTACTGCTACATTCAGTAAATGAAACACTCCTTTATCAGAATGTTCTTAGTTTCTTTTTTTTAGGTATATATATATATTTTTAATTTTATTTATTTGAGAGCGTGCGCATGAGCAAGGGGAGGGGCAGAGGGAAAAGCAGGCTCCCTGCTGAGCAGGGAACCCAATGTGGGGCTCAATCCCAGGTTCAGGACCTGAGCCAAAGGCAGATGCTTAACTGAGCCACCCAGGGTTCCCTCTTAATTTCTTTATTAAGGAATCTCACGTGAGAAATCAATCTCTAACTACTTCATAGATGTATCATGTGATAGATTTCAGTAGTTGAATACATTTCAGAGATTATCTTGAGTCTTTATAGTTTTAACGTGGGATCCAAGAAACCCTGAAGGAACTATGGCTACGGCCTCAAGAAGACTGTGAACCTGCTTAAAATTGTGTGCCTGTCTTTGTGTTTGTGGGGTACATCATTAGACTCTTAAAGCATTTGTAACACCCCTCCCCATGGTTAGTTGATTTACATGTTGAACCAAACTCTCTGTAGCAGATGTAAGGAACTTAACATAAATACCTCAATGGCAGGCAGCACACCACCTCGTCATCTGGTCATTCCATTATCCTGGTGTCTGAGGGGCCTCATGTCTGAGCAGGTTCTGGCCCTGCCTTGGCTTTGATGGAGAGAGTCATTTGTTGGAGTGGCAGTAGTAATAGGAGAGAGTGAGTGCTCCTATAATCTAAGTGGGCAAAACCGGGGAGTGTCATGCATTTCGGCAAGAGCTTTTCATGAGAAGGCAGCATTGTCTGGCTGCTAAAGGCAAGACTTGTTTCAGCAAATCAATTAGTCTTTAGGGACTTTAATCAGTCAAATCTGATGCATGGATGAGGTATTAGAAAGCTCGTGCCTGTAAGACCATTAGTCCTTAGCATTTCTCTCGGTTTGTCTTTAGTGTGTGTGTAGATACGGTGGCTTCTACAGATTTCTGCTAGTGATCCCTTTGCTGGGAGAACGCAAGGTAGTAGATTGGTTAAGCTAGTGTAAGGGAGATCTTGATATCCCGGGTTGTAGTACAGTGTTCTCATTTGAATTGTCACCATTGTGCCCTGTGAGAGCATGAACCATGTTCCCAGCCTTCTGTCATCTCGGTGACATTTTCTCCTTTTGGAATTACTCATCTAAACAGCATTACAGGAGTGGTTCCCCACTGACCAAATCTTATTTCTCTGTTGTTTTAAGGCTCTCCCTGTTTTCTCTACCATGGCCCTGCTCTCCAGTCCCCATTTGGAACCAAGTGTGCCCTTCTTTTCCAGATATACATCAGGGGACGTGAGGGTGTGGGACACCCGCACCTGGGACTACACAGCCCCTTTCCTGGAATCAGAGTATGAGGAGGACGAGCCTGGAATGCAGCCATATGTCTCCTTTGTGAGGATAAACAGCTCGCTGGCGGTAGCCGCTTATGAGGATGGTAAGTAACTGCAACCCTCCTCCCTATTAAGGAAAAAAAAAGCTTTACAAAAATTAAGCAGCTGTGGCCGGCTCCCCCCTGTAATCCCTCCATACATACACGTGGGCACACACACACGGTCACACACATAGCCTCACTCTTGCCTTTATGTGGAGAAGTTGGCCAATAACCCCTCCATGCATTAGTAGGCGATGGAGCACAGAACCCAGTAAGACTGGGGTTTAATTCCTACTGGAACTGGCAGGCTGCGTTTCAGTGCCAGACACGAGGCTGGCCAAGCCATCTTAAGCAAATAGCTTGTTTGGTATAAAATATTAAATATACTTGGCCTACTTTTCCTTTAGTCTCTGCTCAGTCAAAGGGAACAGGGAAAAGGGGGGATAGATAATCTGTTGACAAGTATGGAAATAGAAAAATAAAAGTCAGTGCCTACCTTTTCCTGGCACTTACATACCATACAAGATAATCTATGGTGCTGTGTTGTCTCTCTGGGATTGATAGAATTCTTTTTGTGTATGAGCAACTGTGGACTTACAGAACTAGGTGAGAAAAGTCTAAACTTACATTTACCTAAGTCGTGAAACACCTGTCCGTTTGTAGCTAATAGGAATCATAATTTTGATGGCCATGATATCCTATGCTCCTAAGTTCCATTACGTTGTGACGTTGGAATCCCCAAAAGCTTTGTTTCCCCACTTGCCGGAGTCGGACCGCGAAATATTTTGGAATGTTAGTCTTCATGTCATGGCACTGTTGCAAATCTTTGGAGTCAGTGGAACAACCACAGAATCCATGGTTGGCTCAAAGGGACAAAACTGTAGTAAAGTAGCTAATGGGCAATTTTGTATCTATGTGTCACTTAAAAAGTAGAGCTGAAGTCTTGAAAATATTTTCAGTGTATTACTTTAACAACATGAACTCTGTTCTTTCAGTTTGACATTAGTAGACCTCCTTGGTAGATTTTCTTTTCAGCCTCTAGAAATTCAGCTAAGCTCTTTCTGTGGTATATAGTATTTCCTGTATGTTTGTTGAGCTCTGGGGTAGATAACATAAGATCGGCTTGAATGTGTTTGCTACTTTGCAAACAGCCAATGAGTTTTTCTAAAAAATGAGTATGCCAAGGTTGTAGTACAATTAGAATCCTACACCCTCTGCTAGCCTCCCGGCCACACACATACCTGTGCACACACACATTCTTCTTCAGAGGCGAACCTGGGGCCCAGAGAGACCAGCTAGGTGGTTTGCTTGAGACTGAGTTGTGAGTCCAGTAGTGAATCCAGAAGTGTGACTGTGTGTCCCAGGCCACGCCAGGGTCGGAGTGCACGCTTTATGTGCTACTAAACACAGATGCCTGCAGAGATGTGCCCCTGATTGATTGGCAACCCCACGCCTCCTATCTTGGAAGCTTGAAGACCCAGCTTGAGGAGATGGGCTCGTGTGCTGCCGGTTTCCCATCATTGGTCAGAAGTGTTTGTTCCCCTCCTCCCTCTTGGCACAGAAACATCGGGAAACCATGTAGATGGGAGAGAGAAACTACCTTCTTTGGCAAATACTTGGTAAATAATGGCCAAAATGTATTTTTAAAACTTGATTTAAAAAAATATAGTTAACATTCAAACAGAGCAAAAAAAAAAAGTATAAAATATAAAAGAAAACATATCCAAAAGGAAGCTGAAGTGCTTCTCCCTTGCCCCCTGCCTCTGTCCCTCCCCTTGGATGTCTTAGACATGGGTTCTACACTCTGTACTTCTCTGCACCTTGCCCTTGTTTTGTCTTTTTTTTTTTTTTT